ACATGGAGGGAAGTAAGCAGTGGGGTGCCACAAGGTTCCGTCTTAGGCCCGGTACTCTTCAATATCTTCATTAATTACTTAGATGAGGGAATACAAGGGGAACTTACCAAATTTGCAGGTGATACTAAGCTGGCGGGAATAGTTAACACCCAAGAAGATAGGCTCAAGATCCAGATGGATCTTGACAGACTAGAACACTGGGCCATATCTAACAAAATGAAATTCAATGTAGAGAAAAGTAAAGTCCTACACTTAGGCAAGAAAAACCAAAAGTACACATATAGACTGGGTGAAACTAGGCTCAACAGCAGTAACTGTGAGAGGGATCTTGGAGTCCTACTGGACAAACAGCTAAATATGAGCCAGCAGTGTGCAGCAGCAGCCAAAAAGCTAATGCAATGCTAAGTTGTATTAACAGAGGGATACAATCAAGATCAAGGGAAGTACTAATACCACTCTATAAAGCCTTAGTAAGACCACACCTAGAGTACTGCATCCAGTTTTGTTCATCACATTATGAAAAAGATGTTGAGGCTCTAAAAAAAAATACAGAGAAGTGCAACCAGGATGATTAGGAGACTGGAGGCTAAAACATTCAATGAACGGTTGCAGGAACTGGGCTTGGCTAGTCTAGTGAAGAGAAGGACCAGGGAAGACATGATAGTGGTCTTCCAATATTTGAGGGGCTGCCATAGGGGAGGAAGCTATTTTCTAAAGCATCTGTAGGCCAGACAAGGAATAATGGATGGAAACTGAACAAGGAGAGATTTAACCTGGAAATAAGGAGAAGCGTTCTGACAGTGAGAACAATCAACCAATGGAACAGCTTGCCCTTGGAAGCTGTGGGAGCGCCATCACTTGAGACTTTCAAGAAGAGATTGAAGAGATTGCCATTTGTCAGAAATGGTGTAGGGTCTCCCTCTTGGGCAGGGGGTTGGACTAGATGACCTACAAGGTCCCTTCCAACTCTGATTATGTTATCTTTTATGCCATTTGCCATGCCCTAGGTGAAGAACATGAAACTAGGTAGCATCCATTGTAAAGGGTGTAAGGAATTTTTGAATTTATTACGGGTTCTGTAGAAACTATAGCCTTTTTAGATTTTTAGATTGTTAGGTCTCTGATACATTTTATATCAAGTGCTAACAATATTGGCTGATTCTCCTCTATCAGGTTTCTGTTATATCTACTTTTGCTATGGTTTTTTAAAAAACAAAAAACAAAATCACAATAAAAGCAGTCCTATAATCTTATTTTACCCTACATTTCAGTGGGAATAACTCTAGCTTTTGCCTAAACATAAAATTGAAATAAACAGGTAATATAGCTATTGGGGCACAAAATCCCAATAAATATTTTTGTTGAATAATTCACATTATTTCTTTTAGCACCAGGTTTTTCAAATGAAAGAGCATGTTCTCAAAATTCATTGCACTCTTTCTATGCTCACACCAGTATATTGAACATGGCATCAGTGAATATACGACCATAGATAAGTTTTATGCTTCCTATATTACCAATAAAATGTTTCCTCTTTATATAAAATTAAAGTATTTCTTCTTATTAGACTATTATGGCTGCACTTAAAATGTAGCATTATATGTTTCAAGTACCGGTGGGATTCAAAAAAATTTACTACCAGTTCTGTGGGCGTGGCTTGGTGGGTGTGGCATGGCTTGGTGCAGGGGTGGGATTCAAAATTTTTAACAACTGGTTCTGTGGGCGTGGCTTAGGTGGTGGTCATGGCTTGGTGGTCATGTGACTGGGTGGACATGGCTTGGTGGTCATGTTATTGGCTGGGTGTGAGCAACTCAATATCACTCACATCGAGGCATGCATCTCCTCGCCTGGGCCTCTCATGACTGTGGGGATGCTGCAACAGTCATAAGTGTGAAAAATGATTATAAGTCACTTTTTTCAGTGCCATTGTAACTTTGAATGGTCACTCCACACAAGCAAAGTACCAGCAAAGGAGGGGGAAAAAACTCCAGAGATGTTCCTGAGACAGGAAGTCTAGTCCTACCAAGAATGTAACAAGGGTTAATGGAGAGGCAGTTTCTGTAAGCAATACCAGAATGTATCCTTCCTGCCTTCCTTACAGGATTAGGCCAGTAATTTCTTCTAACAACCAGTTCTCCGAACTACTTAGAATGTTAACATCCGATTCTAGCGAATAGGTGTGAACTGGTAGAATTCCTACCCCTGGCTTGGTGGGTGTAGCTTAGTGGGCATGGCAGGGGAAGGATACTGTAAAATATCCATTCCCACCCCACTCGAGGGGAAGGAGATTGCAAAATATCAATTTCTACCCCACTCCAGGGGAAGGATTCTGTAAAATCTCTAGTTAGAGGTGGTATTTGCCGGTTCTCTGAATGACTCAAAATTTCCACTACTGGTTCTTCAGAATTGGTCAGAACCTGCTGAATACCACCTCTGGTTTCAAGCACTCTGCTTTATCACATATGAACATGCAAATACAAATGCACATACACACAAAAAAAACCACATACCACAAACAGGTAGAGAAATAGAGATAAAGAAAACTATATCGTTTTTGTTCTGTTCTCCAAACTAGCTGATATATTATTCTTTGTTTCTTCAGATAAATCATAATTAAGACTTATCAGAATGCTTAATTCAAGTTTAATGACATACTAGTTAATTGAAAAGAAAAACAAATGATTCCTTCCTTGCAATTTTCCACTGTATCTAATATAAGGAAAACAATGGCCCTAAAGAGTTGATCCTATCTCAGTGATGGTGAACCTTTTAGAGACCGAGAGTCCTAACTCCAACCCAAAACCCACTTATTTATTGCAAAGTGCCAACACGGCAATTTAACCTAAATAATGAGATTTTACTACCTGAAATAATGATAAAACAATGCAGAGTTCAGATAATTGTTCTAAGAAAAATGTGATAAATATACTTTTATGCCTCTTAATTTTTTTCTGCTTTTAAAATATTATGTTTAGCAACAATAAAAAAAGAAAAACTTTTGTAATATCATTTCTTTTTCCCTCTCTCTTTCCCCCCTCATTTTTCTCAATCTTTCCCTCTCTCTTTCCTCTCTCTTTCCCTCCGGCGCTCTCTCTCTCTCTGTCTCTCTCTCTCCTCTCTTTTTCCCTCTCTCTATCTCTCTTTCCCTTCCTCCCTCGTTCTCTCTCTCTGCCTCTCTGTTTTTTTTTCTTTCTCTTTCTTTTTCCACTCTCTTTTTCCCCCTGGGGAGGGGGGAAGAAACCCCTGAACTGGTGGTGCGTGGTGGGAATCTGATGTCCAGAGGCCGACGAGCCCAGGACCAGTGTGCTGAAGCTCAGCTGGCTGGTGGGGAGGCAGGCATCCCAACACAGGCAGCTCTGTAGGAAAAGCAACTGACATCTGGGAGATGAGAATGAGCAGGATCACATCTGACATCTGGGAGATGAGAATGAGCAGCATTGTACTGTAATGGGTTCTAGCAGGAGGACGGGACCCTGTCTTCCTCATTGTGAAGTGCACTAAATTTTACTGTGCTGCACAAGGGGCAGCAACAGCAAATGCACTGCCATGAAGGTGGAATGCTGTTTCACGCATTTTTTTTTAATCCTGCAAATGATGGTGAGAAACGTAACGAAGAAATGCGACGAGCTGGAACTGGGGTGACGGTGCACGTGCCCACAGAGAGGCCACCACTGTCCTATATAGTTAAAACTCCCTCTATAGGGCGAAGTAACATTATGCTGAAGTCAGATTTCAAATGTTAAGCTATACAATCACCATTAAGTATGTACAGTTTATGTATATACAGTTGAAGAAAAACTATCATTTATGACACACTTTTTAATATCATGGTTAAAATTATTCTTCAAAAATGAATATAACCTTAGGAGATACCTTCCTAACAACCTGATCATTAAAATAAAAAAAAATATTAAATAATTTTGTTTATATTTAGAAATCAGTTTAATGATAAACTCATCCATTTTAATATCATCTCTCATGACTCAAAGAGCAAGATAAGAAACATTTCCCAAATTCTCCCAAGATCCATTTAAATCAAATTTTACAAAACACTGCAGAGCTTAGTTCCCAATTTTGATAACAGAATGCAAGTGGAGAGTACCAAGCAAAAACCATTTTTGTCTAAAAAGACAATCAGGTAAAAAATTGGCTTGTAACTATTGTATTCAAATATTTTTTGAATCTAGGAATGAACTTTTAACTCCATTTAATACAGGTTTATTCCTGTTTCGGTTAACAAGTGAACTTTTTTATATACAATTAAGCAGTTGTAATATATATAAAAATTTTATTAAAAACTGTAAAACACAATGACATAGAAGTAATGGTTTAATACTGCAGCTTGAATGTTTGGCTTCTTATAATTCAATGTAAGCATCATGATAGAGCTATATTCAGTTAGCTCTTTCTAATACCAGATTTGAGTGAAATGTTATTTATATTCAAGTTAATGTCTTAAATTTTAAAGAAATTACTTTCAAATTCATTACACAATAAAACAAAACCAGCCAGAAAAATAAATAACCCCAGTTAATTCTCTGGACAAAAATATATTACCAAACTACTACTCTTATAACAGAAAACATTTCACTCAAAAAGAATACTGCCTACTTAATAAACAGGAAAAAAAACGTAACAGGGCTATTTTCTTTCTCATAATCATGCAAAACAATCCATTTCACAGCTATAGTTCAACACAGATTTAACCATACTTAAAGTTAACTATTTCAAGTTTTAAAGACACTAAAGATCCAACCAATTTTACAAACTTATCTCAGAATAAACTCCACTGAACTCAATGGGACTTATTCGGAGTAACCATGTAATACATAACATTGTATCAGACCAGGATTAGCATTTTTCAATCTCCTCAGTTTTAAAATTAGACTAAGACCTAAATTATATAAATATGCATAACTCATCTAATTTTCCCAGAACATTAGTTGTGCTTAGTTGTCCATGTTAAAATAAAATATAAAGAGAATAAGAGTTTATTTCACCTTCACATGGTGTCTTTCTCATGCAGACCTCAGATTTCCATATTTGTATCCCTTTAAAGGATTTGATATGCAGGGAAAAAAGAAAGGATGGTAAACATTTCAATTCAGAGATCAGTTTGGCTGCTACATTCCATGTATTATCACTATGCAAACCTCATACCTTTCACTGATGTGTTGGGAGGTGGTCCTTCCATACGCAGGTTCCACGGAGGATCCCCTTGATTAGCAAAGTCCCTCATCTTCAAATAGCTAATTGTTAATCGGATAATAGATGCCTTGTCAAGCTGGCTGGTAATGGCAGCAGGGAGTGGCAACAATTTGGCCAACTCATAGAATTCAAAATTTTCTTTTCCTCTTCGAGAACGAGCAGCATCTCGGGATTTTTCCTTTCTCAAGGCTTGTAAACTGGGGGAAGAAAGAGAGCAAGATATTCATTAGTACTGTATTTTCTCTGGCAGAGCCACTCTTCTTCACAATTCCTTGTCACTGTACAAATACACCCTGCAAGCACTGTTTAAATATGGATACATAAGCTATAGGCATATATGTCCCAAAGGTGCTTTTTCAAAAGGTAACTAGATACCATCTATCTCCTGTTTACAACACAGTCCTTTCAGCAGTTCCAAGTGGGATTCAAATTTTATTTTTTTATTTTGATTTGTCAATCACTTACAAGATAATAGATTTAAGTATATACATAGTTATGAATACATAAAATGAGTACATATAAGAAAAATAAAAGAAACAAAAGGACATGGACAGTAGGCATGTTGGTGCGCTTATGCACACCACCTACAGACCTCTTAGGAAAGGGGCGAAGTCAATAGTAGAAAGTCTAAGGTTAAAGTTTGTGGGGTTTGGGGAAGAAACCACAGAGTCAGGAAGAGTATTCCAGACATTGACCACTCTGTTCATGAAGTCGTATTTCCTGCAATCAAGTTTGGTGTGGTTAACCTTGAATTTGTATCTATTGAGTGCTCTTGTGTAGTTATGGTTGAAGCTGAAGTATTCATTGACAGGTAAATCATTGCAATGTATGATTTTATATACCATACTTAGATCAGACCGAAGATGGAGTAATTCAAGGTTTTCTAGGCCTAGAATTTCAAGTCTGGTGGCATAAGGTATTCTACAACGAGTAGAGGAGTGGAGAACTCTTCTTGTGAAATATTTCTGAACTTTCTCAACTGTGCTAATATCAGATACGTAATGTGGGTTCCAGACTGATGAGCTGTATTCGAATATTGGTCTAGCAAATGTTATGTATGCTCTAGTTAGTAATGTGATATTACCAGAGAAAAAGCTACGTAGGATTAGGTTAACAACTCTTAATGCCTTTTTGGCTATGTAGTTACAGTGGGCTCTAGCACTTGGATCATGAGAGATGAGTATTCCAAGGTCCTTTACAGAGCTTGGATCATCAACAAGGTCTTGACTATTCAGCCTGTATTTTATTTTCTGATTTTTTTTTTGCCAATATGTAAGACAGAGGATTTATTTGTTGAGATTTGAACTTGCCATTTGTTTGACCATTCTGATACAAAGTCAAGGTCTTTTTGAAGGGTAGCAGTATTGTCTGTGGTGTTGAACAGCTTTACATTATCAGCGAAGAGAACACAGTTGCTCTTAATGTGATCACAGAGGTCATTTATGTAGAGTATGAAGAGAGTTGGTCCTAGAACACTGCCTTGGGGGACACCACTATTGACAGGTACAGAATTTGATAGGACACTCCCAATTTTAACCATTTGTTGTCTGTTTGACAGGAGTGCTTCTATCCAGTTAAGTAGTTGGCCAGAGATACCATAAGATTTTATTTTTAGGAGTAGTTTGTTGTGTACTACTGAATCAAAGGCTTTACAGAAGTCTATGTAGATTGCATCTATTGTTTTGCCCTGACCGAGTTGTGTAGTCCATATGTTTTTACAGTGTAAGAGTTGCAGATTACAGGATAGTTTTTTCCTGAAACCAAATTGTTTATTAGAGAGCAGGTTGTTTGTCTCTAAGTGGAGGATAATGGATTGGCTAATAATTGATTCCACGAGTTTATAGGTGACGCAGCATAAGGAGATTGGTCTGTCATTTTCAACTAGGCTGGGGTCTCCCTTTTTTGAAGATGGGGATGACCATGGCTTGTGACCATAGTTTTGGCAAGGAGCGGGTCCTGAAAGATTTTTCAAAGATTATGCTTAGAGGTTCTGCTATGGCAGTGGATAGCGTTTTTAAGAAGTGGGCACATTTTCACTACCGGTTCTATGGACGTGGCTTGGTGGACGTGGCAGGGGAAAGATACTGTAAAATCTCCAATAAGAGGTGGTATTTGCCGGTTCTCTGGACTACTCAAAATTTTCGCTACCGGTTCTCGAGAACTGATCAGAACCTGCTGAATACCACCTCTGATTCACACCACACCCATTTTCACTATTCAGGTGACCTTGAGGACAGCAATGAAACTCCAAGTGTTCAACGACTTTCAGACAGAATGCTAATGACCAGATGATTGCAAGGAAGATAAACCCTTCCATTCTCCACCATTCAGTCAGAACTGAAGAAGCTTCCTGGATGAGAAGTGAAATGTCTTCAAGGAAAAACAAAGAAAGTCCAGTTTTCTTTTGAGAAAGCACCATTGGGGCAACCATGACCTGAACGACTGAGAATCTCCATATATATATATATATATATATATCTATCTATCTATCTATCTATCTATCTATCTATCTATCTATCTATCTATCTATCT